GTCTAGTAGATAACAAAAGTTTGAAAAAGGGAAAATAATACTGGAAGGGAGGTATTTTCAGTTTTTAAATTATTTACTCTTTACTGATCTCAGCTAAAATGTAAAAGATATTGGCCAGAAAGCACAGATGAGGTACTCAATTTCGCTGGCTTGGAAATATCATTGGTAAGTTACTGATTGAGTTTTTGTTTTTGATCTTGTTTTGATGTCCAAATCATATCTGTGAAATTAACAAATGCTAGTATTAATAATGATTCATCTTTGTGTCAGGAGCCTTATTTTATAAGTGATCAATTGCTCTTGATACAAATATTTTAATTCTGAATTATTTTGATATGCAACTAGATTCTTAGTTATTTTCTTTATGCACTGGTCTTAATGCCCTCTCGGTAATTGAAGTAACATTTAACATTTAGTATAGAAAATGAGATTGACAAATTAATATGTCATGTGTATACTAGCTACAATCATGCAGTATAGCTGTACATGCCTTGATTATAAAAGCATTGTGAGCTCAATTGTGACTTTCATATATTTGTCTTTTCACATCTTGTAACAGATTTCTACAGAGGATATTGCAGAAGGGTTTATCATGAGAACAATGAATATGAAATCTGGCAAGGTATTATTGCAAACAATCATATGAAAAAATAATGTAAACAATTATTGACATTTACATAAAAATTTCATTGAATTTAAAACTATAACTACCCCAAAATTGCTGAGGCCTGGGCTCTGTAATAGCCAGGAAACTTATATTACGAGTCATTTTAATTAAACGGGTTTGAATTTTTATAACTGGATATTTCCTACTAATATATACTAAAACAGTGGATAGCATTGATGTTGCCCTCTGATTGGCTTCTCAAATTCCCAACATCCTTTGCTTTTCACCTCTGAACAACTTGGACAGGATTTGCACACAAAAATATTGTAATCATTGCAGAAATAAATTAGTAAAAACCATCTTTTTGTGCCACTTATATTATCTTACTGTTATAGAATGTACTAAAATAACTATTCATCTCAGTGTCTATGGCTAGTGCTGGATATTTACCTTGCTGCTGCTTAGCTTGGTAAATATCCACCTCTAGCCACCTCCACTATTGAGAATAGTTGTCAATTTATTTTGCTTCACTTTTCAGGAAGAAATGATGGTGACACAGTTGCAATATACGGCTTGGCCTGATCATGATGTCCCACGATCTGCAACACCCCTCATAGAATTGAACAAAACCCTCAGGGCTGTACAAGGAAATAGAAAACAACAGTTATTAGTCCACTGCAGGTATCGCAAAAAATATATATTATTGGTTATTAAGAATTTAACTTAATTGTTAATTAAATCTAATGTTAACCCTCAACTGATGATCAAACATCAGTATGCATAAATCTCAATACTGTTCTCAATGCATTTTCTAAGGTGCTGACAAGGAGAATTTGTTTAGCAATCAGGAAGTCCTTTAGTTGTGATCATGACCTTGATGTGTGATGTGTGATTCAGGGTTGATATTGTAAGCCAGGGGAAATTAGATGCAAGGGATCAAAGATGTAAAATAAGGAAATGGTTCGGCCATTGCAGTGACACACATCATGCTGGGCACTTCCTCCCTGGATTTATTTGTGTGTTTATTATCAAATACATGTAATGAGAAAGTTTCAGTCCACAACAGTCCTTAAATCCTTTAAACCCCTAGTCAAAGTTATCAGGGACCTATTTCTCCTTACAATGATTTAATATTGCTGAATAATTCACTAAGACCATGAGAACGAAGGTAATGATCACCAACCTAAGATGCTTTGATTGTTGGGTAAATTCCCTTTGTCAGCATCCAAAGAAATGTATAGAGAAGAGTGGAGAGAATATCGCTGCTGATGTTAGGATGTAAAGGGTTAAGATGGTAATTTGGCATAGTTTGAGAGACATTATTAACCTTTTTTTTTTAATCACATGATTTCTTTTCTCTTCCAGTGCTGGTTGTGGTAGAACAGGAACAATTTGTGCTGTGGATTACGCATGGTCTCTTCTTAAAATGCATGTAAGTACAAAATTACTCAATGATAATGTTGTATATGCAGCTCTGATCACCCTCAAGGAAACTCTTCTCAGGTCTATCCAGAGTATTTTAGATGCATGACAAGCTGAATTATAAAGACATTTTAATTGATTCGCTGTTTATTTGCTAGTGAAGGACAGATATAAGGATGATGTCACCACAAACAACATCTTGCTTTTTTATCATGTAAACTTAATGGATTCCATTCCATGTTTCTGTGGACCTGTGCAGTCCTTGTATTAAACTACAGAGGATGTCAACTTTTCTGAACCCTTTAACTTCCATGAGTGATCTAGATCAAATTTCTCCTTACAATATCAATACAAAATCAAGAAGATATGCGACGAGAACTAAGAAAAGTATCAATTAGGGAATCATTTGTTGATCCAATACCAAATTCTCAGAAATAACACAAGATGAATTGTATAGCAGACAGTAAGGAGAATTACTAATGACATCGTGGGAGTTACAGGGTTAAGGACAAAAGAATTCACACTCAGCTGCACCTCATCTGTGCCTTTTTTGGTTCACATTTTGATGTCATCTGTGATCTGTTAGTTAACCCTTTAAACCCTTGAATAGTGACCAACATCCAAATTCTCCTTGAAGTAAAACTGCCAAATCATTCATTAATATCATGAGAAAAAAGGAAATGATCACCAACCTAAGATGCTTTGATTGTAAAACAAAATCTCCTTCTTTAGACTAAAAGAAACTTATAGGGAAGAGTAGGGAGAATGTAGATACTGATGTTGGGGTGTTAAGGGTTAACAGAGGCTCAGCAGCATGGAATTTTCTTGTTGAGTATTTGCACGCGCAGTTATGGGGATATGGGTGGGCTATTCTAAAGGAGCCTGTCATCAAAACGTTAAAACTTCCAATAAAAGTCTAATTTAAGGTGAAAACTTAAAAACCATTTAAGGATATGTGTATGAATAATGCGCAATGGAAGGCTCTTTGCTCGCGGAAACACATTTCAGCAGGTCTGTCTGTCTGCCTCGCTGTTCGTACAAGTGTTGGTAGACCATTGCGTGCCGATCAGTTTAAAAGAAAAGATGTATTAAAAAATAAGAGTGATTCTCAAATGAAACACATTCATAACGTTACCTTGCAGAAGACGGCTAATTTTAGTGTGTATAACATAGTAGCGGATCTTAGAAGGCAAAGGATGGCCATGGTTCAGACAAAGGTACTATGTTATCAAAGTTTGTTTTTCCCAGTCATGATATACTGTGTAGATCAAGGTCCGGGTAGAGAATTATCCTCCGGTTAGAGATTTATCCACCGGATAGAGATTTATCCACGTGATAGACATTTATCGACCGGGCAGAGATTTAACGACCGGGTAGAGATTTATCCGTGAGTTACAGATTTTTTAACCGGATGGGAAATTATCCATGGGGTAGAGATTTATCCACTGGGTAGAGATTTATCCACCGGGTAGAGATTTATCCACCGGGTAGAGATTTATCCACCGGGTAGAGATTTATCCACCGAATAGCGATTTATCCACCGAATAGCGATTTATCCACCGAATAGCGATTTATCCACCGAATAGCGATTTATCCCATGAGTCTCATCCAAGTGGTTTTCAGGGGGTCCTCTGAAGAAAGTGTAAACTAAAAATCTATAAAAATAATATGCATTTAAATTAAAACTTGCTCGAGACAAAGAAGTAAAAAGTTGTAGTGAAAGACATTTTTCGTCTTGTCACGAGCGTGAGACAAAGAAAAAATTCCTAGTCCCAAAACTCACCACCATCGTGACAAGATGAGAAATATATTTCACTATTTCTTTACCGAGCTCAGAACTTACCATCTTTCTTATTATATCAACAAACATGACGCTGGTGGCTCAGTAGTAGAGCATCGGAGCGCGGAATCCGAAGGTCAGAGGGTCGATTCCTCATAGGGACTCAGAATTTTTTTCTTTGTCCCACACTCGTGACAAGATGAAAAACATCTTTCTCTATTTCTTTACCGAGCTGAAAACTTGCCGTCTTTCTTATTCTATTACCAAACATGACGCTATCGACATCGCTGATCCTAGCAGTATACAGCACACGTGTCATATGAACTTCGTAATAGACTTCGCTCGCTGTAAAGTCTCTGTGGCTTAGTGGTAGAGAATCAGAGGGCGGGATCCGACGGTCTGAGGTTCGATTCCTCATGGAAACTCAGAATTTTTTCTTTGTCCCACGCTCGTGACAAGATGAAAAATATCTTTCTCTGTTTCTTTACCGAGCTCAAAACTTTCTATTTTTCTTGTTCTATTAATAAAAGTTATTTTCAAAGTGCCTGTTAAAGGGTATTTGTGACAAGATCACTTTGATCTCTCAAACAGGAGCAGTACGCACTGGTTTACAAAGCTGTTGTTCAACTCGTTCAAGAAGAATTCGATAGAGAGAGGATGAAGTCTCACACGTATGTCAATGTGGAATTACCTACTTCGCCTCAATCACCTCCTGGGAATGAAGATTATGAAAACTGTGAATTCTTAAACAGTGTTAGTCGGTGGAGGCAGAGTGACGTCGAGAATGGATCGTCTCCAAAACCCTTGGTACCATTGCCTTCGCCTAAAGAGACGAAAAGCAATTCTAAGCCACAGCTGGCAAGTAAACCCAATCTACCAAAACTTGACAGAGCTGCCGCGGCAAAATCATCAGCGCATGCTAACGGTGACTACGTAAATATTGAATTTCCTTCCAAAGTTATTAAAACTACGCCGGTATCACCAGCACGCGAAACGTCAGCGCCATTTGCAGCTCCACTTAGTCCAGCACATAGAGCAAACATACCTGGTTCAAATTCAAGCAGAGTTCGAACAGGCAATGGAAGCCCACCTGAGATGAAACAGAAGAGTCCAACGAATTCTGACTATGAGGTTGTGCCCAAGGGAATGACTCCTTCACCAGTATCTAGTCCAGGATATGAAATGCCTCCACCTATGAAGAAAGTCATTTCGTCTGATTATGAGTTTCCTGTGGTTTCTGCAAAGCGCGAAGACAAAAAACCAACAGCACATGTACCTGAAGGTATGTTAAGTTACATCGTACTGTGAATTCCAGCTTTAACCCCGGGCAAAACCCTGAGTATTTTGCAAAAATCGATTGAACAAACATATGTAACATGGTAAATCAATTCACAACTTGTTTCCTGAAAAATTTTTGGAAGTTTTATTTCGTGCTTTCGGGACCTTTTCACGTTTTCTCCAACAAGCATCTCTGGAGGCACAGGTTCAACTCCCGTCGCAGCAGTTAACCCTTTAACTCCCAAGATCTCCTTAGTAATTCTAATTTTTTTTTTCTTACTTATCCAATCACACTGTTAGCACTAAGCGGTGTAACAACACTAAAATTGATTATTCGTGCTCGCTATGATTATTAACTATTTCTTTCTATGTGATTGATCTTGCTGATAATTAACTTTTAACTAAAAAAAGTATGTAATATTAAATCTATAAAGATGTGAATGATTCTAGAACTAATGTATCCCTGAAAAGTAATCAAGCAAGTAACGAAAGCGCCATTAAAGATCTTTAATGTCACTTGAAAGGTCAGTTTGATTGAGTCATGCCATACCGAAATGGCACAGGAAAAAGGCAATGCATACGTACGTGCGCACACATATAAGTTGCTGAAGTATATTGTTGATAGTTATCCTTGCGCTAAAGACATCTCTCCGGATTCCCCTTAGCACGCCTGTAGACAATCTGTAGTAAACCTTATTCGCCGGTTGTATATAATTTAGTTTGTAAATTAAAGTAACGTAAGTTGTTTTGTAATAATGTTAAATGTTAAAACAGGTCTGTTAATTGATCTCGGAGATGATGTTCCTCCGGTGCCATCCAAAAGGCATTCCGTAGGCTCTGTAACTAAGAATGGTGCAGGTGTCAGATATGAAAATGTTGAAGGTAATTTAAAAATTTCGTAAGAAATATGTTTAGATTAATCCATGGTCTGCATATTTATCGTGTCCTACCTGGTACAAATGCAGTTTACTGAAACAAAAACGCCTGTGGTGTGGTAAAATCACTGATGAAACACATCACTGTCTCTAAGCTCTGTAATCGTTTGAAGAGACATCATTTGCTTTATTGGCAAGCTCTTTCATAGTTGTAGAAAAGAAAAAAAACTCTAATCTCATTTCTTCTCAAGCTCTTTCACCATTTGAGGGAAAATCTCCTGTTATATCGTTTCATTTTAGCACGTCCCATTTTGTTCCATCTCTTATATTCATCTCACCTCATCTCATTGCCTCCTATTATATCTTATCTCATCCCCTTTTGCATTTCTTTTTCATCTCGCCTCATCTCTTCTGATTTCATATTATCTCATCCCTTTCCATTGCATCTGTTCTTATCCCATCAAATCTCATCTGAAGTAATTTTTCCTGTTTTCTCTTTTCTTTTTTACTCAGTCAAACCTTTAATGCCCATTGAGGTAAGATCATCAAGCTCCCCAAATGTACTGGACGATTCATGGATTCATGGTAGCAGTTACTCAAAAACAACTTCCAAGAATCCACCACAAGGCTTGTGTCCAGAAAATGTAAAAGAAGGCGTCGACCGAAAGGGTTTCAGTACGGTCCCTAACAGGGTTCACGCTGATTCTGGACCAAAGCGATGTCCCCTGAGTGCTGATTTGTTCCAGGACCCAAGTTCAAGTACCATTGGCGATGCAAGCATTGGTGGATTTGAGGTGAAGAATTCACAGTCTGGGCCATATTGCTTGCTTGGTTCTACATCATCCAAAGCAACGACACCACAGCCTAACCTTGAGCTACAGTATCAGAAGCAAAAACCAGCTGATGAGGATCCGCGCAAAACTCCACATGCGCAGTCGCAGACACAGCCAAAGAGACAGAGTGAACCACCTAAGACGCGACCAAAAATGGGGGCTTATGCCTTGGTAGGGATACCAGAGACTAAGAGCAAGACCGTAAAACCAACTCCAGTATTTATACCTGCCCCGTTCAGCAGTAATCATCCCAAAGGAAATACTGCTATTCCTGTGCAAAACAAAGGTGGTGGTTCCCCTGTGGAGGTCAAAGAGAAGCCAATCGCTGAGCCTTCGTATGAGCTGGTTGGACATTTGCAGCCGCCAGGAAAGATGGTTCCTGCTCATCCAATGCAGCAACCTAAACTTGAAAATACGTTGGACGTGAAGAAAGATGCCAAAATGAAGCTGCAAGGGTCGCCCCTTTTAAACAGGAGAGACGACCAACAACTCTTTGCTAAGAGTAACAGCGTACCAGACGTTTCCATCAGACGTCCGCCTGATGGAGAAGCACAGGCTTCAGATGACGCGACGATTGGGCCAGGTATGTACACAAGATTATGAGTTAACAAACAAAACCCCGATAAACAAAGAGCTGTAATTGTCTTCCGGTGGGAGCCTTGTAGGTCCGTTTCCTTCTTAGAGAAAATAACTCCCAAAGAAGAAGATAAACAAATCGTCTAGTAGTGTGCTAGGCTTTAATTTAAGTCATAGTGTCTTGATATTCAGGGTTAGGTGATCTCTGGAAAGATATAATGAAATAAAATTAAAACTTAAGAAAAGAGAAAACCCTGTCGGTCAGCCATTGGTTCTGACTAAACTATCCCTAGATATCCAAAGCAATTTAACATCTTGCAATGTTGTTCCTGCCATTTACTGTCTTGGGAATGTGGTTATTATTCGCAGATAATTTGGATGGAAAGGACATCTTAAGTTAAATCAGAAGAACTTATGTTTTACAGATCTTTACGCCACAGTTACTTCGAAAAAGAGAGACAGGCCAGACAAAAAGGATAGTGGACCACCTAGCCTCCGAACTCAGACTTCTTCAGGAAGTTTACAAGTATGGTTTTTATCTTATTATTTTATTACCGTGATCAGTTGTATTCATGGTCAAATTTTGGACAGCTGTAAAGCATTGTTCAAACGGTCACGATAGTTGATGATAGTTTCAAATTTCATTGACTATCATTGACTATCGTGTCTGCGTTCGAACAGTTGATGATGATAGTTGACAAAATCACGCCAGGAGATCGCGTAATTGTAAACAAGTATGGCGCATGCTTAGATCAGCGATTTCTGTGGCATTTCAAAATTTTTAGTCAAGAAGTTGCGAGTTGAAGATACTGAAGCCTACCAGGAGATGATTAGAACGGGTTACAAGACATTCTTCGAAATATTTGACCGCTTCTTTAGTCATGTTAGCATTTGCCATTTCGGTTTGAGCCCGTTTTGGGCAAAACTGCTTACAGAAAAACTCATTCAGCATCTTCCGCTCGTTCAAACGGCAAAAACATATAGATGGTGTTTTTCCATGATAGTGCATGACAATTTACGTTCAAACGCGCGTGATAGTTAAAACTATCATCAACCATCGTGGCCGTTTAAACGGAGCTTAATTCTTAAAGAGGTAAATTAAAACTGGTGTCGATCATGAAAATTTCCGCTTGGCGAAGTCACAATTAAATTTTTCAAAAGGATTACTTATGTGATGTCGTTTATATTTTGTTGGTTACAATGTTTTCACCACCAGTTTATCTTTGTTTTCATTTGTCTTAGATGCAATATAATAGTCACTCTAAGAAAGGAGTGACTTATATTTCAAACCTGTGTTTTCTTCCCAGAGGTCTACGTCTACATCAAACGATGGAGACGATTCCCCTCCGGCCGTCCCTGAGAAGACCAATGAGGCGTTCCTTGTTCCAGGTACGTAAAGCAAATTCACTCACTTCATTCAACATGCTGCATAAGTAATTTGAAGCATAGAGGTCACATTATGTCTGACCAGTTTTCCGCCTGTCCATTTTTCCACGCACTCGCTTCCTCGTTCACTTCGTGGGTTTGTGTTGTAGTTTTTTTTTTTTGATGTCGTTCAGACCCGTGGTTAGTAGGTCGTTTTTATTTTTTGCGTTCTTTTCCCTACAATTTAGTCACTCAGTGTGCATACAAAGATAAAAGATAACATCACCACTTGAGCCATGAGACCTACAAAAACTCAGCTTTTCGGGGTCGCCTTTGCTGAAGCGAATAAGAGTTTTGCTACTCATTCGGGGCGGAATGGGGGGATGCTAATGCAACGTAGGTTACCCCCATCATGTTTTTTTAGGTCTTTCCCCCCCCCCTTCCCCCTTTCGTGGTACCCACGTACACTCCTGAGTGTGAGGAGACAGTTTCTTTAGTAATGATGCTTTTGACCAATAACACAAACGAACCCCTACCTCCCGACCAACGGCGTTCAGCGCACTAACCTCAAGACCACCATCGCCCCCACAAAGCGTCAATACATCTCATTTTCATGAACAGGTGAGGAACCTTACGAAGCTGTGCAGCAGAGTAATAGAGGATCTTTAGGGGGCCGATTCAAGAAGATGGTTAAAAGTAATTCAAAGGTTAGTCTAGTGAGATGTAATTTTTAAGGGCGTGCACCAATATGACGAGAATATCATGCATGCATGATACCCTGTCTTGCTTACGTACACCAATATGACGAGAATACCATGCATGCATGATACCCTGTCTTGCTTACGTTCACAGTTCTCGTCGCCTTAATCGCGAAGTATTTTTGGAAAAAGACTCACGTATTTTATTTAGACGTATTCGAAGAGTCTCTAGTCCTCTGGTAACCTGCTAGATAGACAATGACTCCATATAAACAGATTTTGCCTTTTAATTATATTCGGCTGTTGCTGTTGCTGATGTATTGTTTTGAGTGAGAAACTCAAATGCTGTTAAAAAGCATGGAGTAGCTCAGTTCCAAGGAATAATGATTAAAATTGATGAGGTACTAAATTAAAATTAAACTTTTAGATAAATGTATCTCACTAGTTGATTACTCTTTGCGACAGGGCAGTCTACCCAAGCGTCTCTCTGATCCAACAATGCACGCAAGTCACAGTGGTAGCGGGACTTCAAAAACCAACAGTTTGGGGAGTTCCACTAGTAAGTAGGCCTGTTCAGCGGTCACCTTTAGTTTGGCACAATACTTCATACTAAATCGTTCGTTAGTAGTTTAATAGCGTAATAGTTTTTATCGTTTGTCTCAGGATGTTGTTACTTGTAATGTTGATTATGAACTTTTCACGGCATGCTTCAGGTCTTCTTCAGGCGATAAGCTCCAATGTATTGCCATCATCTCTTGTTTTGTACGTGTGTGTTTGTAAATCGTGGCCATCTAAATTGTTAACATTACTCTCTGCCCCGTTGATCTTCTATTTATCAACTTTTACACTTTTTGCAGTGGTCGTGCCATGGGATGATATAGGTACGTTTATCAAACCTTCACACAGTTTGAAGTTCTTTCGCTCTGCTTATTCATCGAGTGTATTTGAAGTTTTTTTGTTTTGTTATGTAGGATTATATATTTCCTTTGACTAATTCATTTTTGATTGATTGTTTGTTTGTTTTTTATTCTATTTTTTTCCATATTTTGTTTTCATTTTACTTTGTGTTATTTTCATTCTCCTTTTATTTTTTTTTTAATTTTTATAGTATTTTTATGTGGAAATTTTTTTTAAGATAATTTGATTGATATATGAAGTTATGAAATGATGAAGTTATGAAATAACCTATTTTGCTTTATTTATTTTTCATTTAGGGTACAAGAAGAGAGTGAAAAAGCCCAAAGGTCCCAGAGTATGCCCAGCGCAGTGGCCAACATTCGGCTATCATGGGTTATAATTTAGAACTTCCTTTATCTTTTGACACAAAAAAAGAGAGAGCATCACGTTTTGGGTCAAACAACAATCTTCGTCTTTTTGTTTTTGTTTTTTTTTTCGTTTTTCCTTTATGAACCTCTTTTATGATTGGATGTACAAAAATAATTGGACAATTCAGGTAAATGTATATCTTTCGGCAGATAAAATTGAAATTATGTCTCAGTAGAACGAGTTCCTGCGAGATCAAAGATATCCTTAAAGTCAGCAGAATTCATTTTTCAACCTAAATGTGGCTCACTTTTGGGTAAATGTCAGGAAAAACATATTTCTTTCCAATTTCGAAATCTGGAATAGGGTAGAGGGTTGCATTTTTTTTTTCTGTTTTAAGACACCGGTAGGGGTAAATGCTCACATAACTGGACACATGTTTCACTGCAAACTATCATGAGAACTACTCATCTGCAATGAGTGGGAGGTCATGGCTCGCCCAGCTTCCTTTTTGAATTTTTTTTTTCACTTTCGTTCCCTATTATCAATGTTAATGTTTCTTGGTGTTTGTGACAACATAACGGTCTTTACTTTTATTGAAACATTGTTTTTTTTTGGGGGGGAGGGGGGGAGGGAAGGGGGACTTTAAAGAAATTTATTAGACATGAATTACTAGTCGTGTGTTTATTAAGTTGAATGGAAGCTTATCGACCGCCTGCTAAAGAAAGGCGTGTCAACTTCTTCTGCCTCTCATTTTGGGAAGTTTTTAAGTTGCAGTGGTATGCTTTTAATCGCTCTGAATTAGTCAATTTAAAAAAGAGAGTTGGCAACAAATTACTCAATTTTGTTGACAGAACAAACAGCAGACAGCAAAATATGTGAGACTGCTGCTGTTTGTAAGGAAGGAAACCCAACAGGGTCTCGAAAATGTCTGTTTTGTTTGTAATGGCCAACGATACTTGCGACTCAAGCGAGACACTATTTAGAACTAACTCCCTTATAGGGAAATTTTGCGAGGTGTAACACACCAAATAATCAGTTTGATTCATTTATTTTTAGAGAAAAATAAAAAAAAGGACCAAAAAAGAAGCTTTTATGTAATCGTATTTGATCTTATCATGGGAAAAAAAAAAAGGTACTCTTGCGATTAGTTCATTTCGAATTTTTAACGGTGTTTAATTAAATGTTAATGAAATTTAGAAACTCTAGGAAATCTTTAGAAAGAAGTGAGTAGAAAAACTCAATGAATATACTAATTTTTCCGTCTTTGAGAAGTGAATAAGTCACCATCACTTAGATTTTTGAAAACTGCAAGTCACTCTTTTCTGGTGGGAAGTATAAAATAGTTGTTGCGATTGTTGTAGTTTCCTTTCTGAACAATCCTATCCTATCTACTGGTGTCAGAGATTGTTGAAATAGAATACATTATTAAGTCGCCTTAAAAACTGTCTGTTTCAAGGGACTATTATGCCGCAAAACCGATGAGAAGTATAGTTTATTGCTTAAATGAACGAGCAAATCATTTGGCCATTAAAATTCATTGCTAACACCTCTTCCTATTTTCCTTATAAAAAATTTTACACTCCTAATTTGGTCTCATTCTGATCACTTTAAAGAAAGCTGTAATAAAGGAGTGAAGCATTGTACAAAGTGATGGAACAGCTAAAAAGCAACGCAGTTTGGATATCTTGTCACAAAGCTAGAGTGTGACAATATTCCATCCACACGATGTCGAACATTAGTGGAGTCGGAAACCGCTCGTCGAGAGCAGCACACTTTTACTACTGCGCCAATGGTTTGAATGGACTTCACAACCAGATCATTTCATCCTTAAATGTGCTTATAGCAATCACATCCTTTCCAGTTAACCTCTTGATAATTGTTGCCCTTCAAAAAATTACGTCGATTCATCCGCCATCGAAACTTTTATTCAGCTGCCTAGCATTGACTGATCTTTGCGTCGGAATCATATTGCAACCTTTGTATATTGCCTATTTGTTGTCTCCGTACCACTCTAGTCTCTGTTACTATCTGGAATATGTTTCTCCAGTTGTGGCCTTATCTCTATGCGGCGTATCTTTGCTCACGTCAACTGCAATAAGTGTGGATAGATTGTTCGCGCTGGTGCTTGGGTTAAGGTATAGACAAACCATCACAAGGAAACGGGTCTGGGCCTTTGTAATTTTTTCTTGGCTTGGAAGCAGTAGTAACGCAGTAGTTTACCTATATGGATATCGCATTCTTTTATTTACAGCCAGTGCAATAATGTTGCTGTGCATATCAACGTCCTCGTTCTGCTACCTGAAAATATGTCGTATACTTCGCCATCACCAGTTTCAAGTCCAAGAACGTGTTTACCTCTCGCGGCCAAATAGGAGGGAAGTACCGATCAATATTGCACGATACAGAAAGACAGTTTCCAGTGCACTTTGGATATCACTGGTGTTGTTAGGTTGTTATCTACCATTTGTTATAATGATATTCATAGAGTACATAACTTATGCGCTAATTGTTGCCTTATTTTTTGAATTAGCAGTAACTCTTGTTCAGTTGAATTCATCCCTGAATCCATTGCTTTACTGCTGGAAAATCAGAGACGTAAGACAGGTAGTGAAAGATATGGTCAAAGAGTTTTTCTGCTCCCAAAGTTAGTATTGCTGCAGAGATCTTTGCATTGGCCGGAATTTCCTGGTCACAGAAGTCATATTGAAGTCCGCTTCAGAGCAGAAGGCTTATTTTATCGAGAAAATTGGATTTTACCAACATTCACTAAAAAGGGAGAGCTTTGCTCGCTGAAGATCCGTTGGCTGATCCTTAGCTACTTCTTGTCTTTATAATTATGACAGTCTAAAAGGATTGTCATCATTATCATCATCATTACTATCACCATCATCGCTATAACTTTTATGATCATAACTTAGCCCATGACCGGTTATGCTGACGATGATCTATATATGTATATTTCTCACATGTTTGTAATTTCAAAAATTTTAGTCTCATTGATAGTATTAAATATTTTGTAAGATAAATAATTAGTAAACTGTTTCATAAGGCCTAGGTTTGCGGCCGATATAACGCGCTTTATGATTAGCTGAGAGCGATAGTAAAGCAGAGCTTTAACTTCCGTTAACTAAGGCTCAGGGCCCCATCACGAATCATACAATATAGTAATAACGCAAAAAGTTTCAAAAGGACGGAAGTTTTATTATTTTTAAATGAAAAATACGTTCAAATTCATATCCTTACTGCTAAATACACCTTATAGCTTCAGATTCCTGCTTAATCGTGAAATGGACACCTTAGGGAGAAAAACCCAGAGAAATTTTGTATACCTTACTCACACTTGATATCAAGGTAAAACAAGTTATTGACATCAGAGGTAAGGTCGTAAACAAATTATTGTGTAGATTGAAGAAAACCTACCTCTTAAAATTGTTCTATTTTGGGAAAAGGTTTTCAAATCATATTTAATGAAAAAAGAAGACAATAATAAAAAAAGACACCTGAACAAAATGTCCGATCTCTTCTTTTTCCCTTTGCATCTTTCCTTTTTTGGAACTACTTCTTATATGCTCCATTGATTTAAGGAGCAAGTGTCAGACGAAGGTTATAACTATGCCTAGTTGCACCTAAACTAGAAATATATAGACCAACTCATTAATGGCGGCTTTAGCCAGCTTGAGTTCCATCGAGTAAATTGACTACTCTGTTTAACCCCTCGCCATTCTGTTACGCTTCGCCTTACAACCAATGTTTTGCAGTCTTGATGAAATGTTTCTAAAAATGGCTGGATTTTCACTACTATCGGTGTATCGTACAGTTCTTTTATTTTCAGCTTTAGAATATTACGCTGATTGCATTCTTTTCTTTTTTTGGAACAAAAGTGGTAGGAAAAAGCGACCAAAGTTTTTTTAAAGAAATGTTAGCTTCCGCTTAAATTTTCTATCGCTACATACTGAGAAAACTAACGTGTCTTAAAATCACATGTTACTTTGAGTGTCTCCAAAATACTTCACTAAGGAATAGGTATGCATATTCTCAAATGACACCAATTAGTGTCTCTAAGGATAACATCTCTTCTTATCAAGGCGATATGTTCTAGAACACTATTCTTTTCCGGATCTT